TCCTTCTTGGAAATTGGGGGACTAGTTTACAAGTTCAAGGAGAAGTTTAAGACGGGTTAAAATGGCTAGAATATCAATAAATTTGGATTATCTGATTGTTCAGACTTTTAAGTACAGTATTTATTGATTCTTGGGAAATTAGTTTAAGATTTTTTAGAACACAGTTTAGGTAAGAGTAGCAGAAGAGCAGAACAGAAGAGGCCATAACCAAAGTCACAAGTAGCTTAGTGAAGTTGTAGCATCTCGACACGTAGATATTGCATCTTGAGATCAGTTGAGTCAATTTAGCAAAGAGTATGTTTACTCGGTAACTTGCTCAAGCACAGCAGGATTTACATATTGTTAGGGTACACACCAACAATAACGCGTCGAATGGATATGTAATACACAGAATAAAGGTACAAAAAAGCAATCATAGTACTCACAGATATATGTGATTTACTCATTTGGAGCTACTCCACAGTGCAACGACGACGCCAAATTCTTTTATATCCCAAAAAAATAGATAAAAAAGAACACACTCTCTTGATCAGATACAGTCCAAGAACTCTCACAATCTCTCTTTGTGTTTTCTCTCTTACTCTTCTATGAGAGTAGTTGTTTCTGAGATTAATTTTTCTGAAGAGTTTAGGTCCTATTTATAGTGTTTGGGAAACATTATGCACAAATAAAATATTATCAGTGGGACCCGCCACTAACAATAAAATATTTGTGGGACCCACATCCTTTATAAATTCTCAACAATGGCTGCAACGAATTTGAGTTTTCTTCTTGTGGGGCCCGCCTTTGTGGGTCCCACTTTTATTTTGTTGGCTGACAATATCCCACTTGAAGATTTGATTGAATATCAATCACATCCTCACACCCTTCTTGGTTGCATCATCCGGATGTCTTGTATTTTGGACGTCTTGCACGGTCCTCAACATTCTCAACGGAGGCTGCACACAGCCTCACCTTCTCGAGCGGAACTGGCTTGGTCAGCATATCGGATGGATTGTACCTCGTATCAATCTTTACAAGCTTGAACTCGTTCTTGCTTTGTCATCTCCGTATGGCATGGTGTTTCACGTCAACATGCTTGGTCCGAGCATGAAATGCCCATTTTCTGACAAGTGAATGACACTCTGACTATCGAAGTGGATGAAGTATTTCTCAAAGCTTACTCCAAGCTCGAGAAGAAAAACCTTCAACCATAGCAACTCCTTTGCTGCCTCTGCTGCAAACACGTACTCCGGTTCGGTTGTCGACAAAACCACAGTATTCTGTAAGTTGGATCTCTAACTTATCGCTCCACCACCCAAGATGAAGATGTAGCCGCTAGTGCTCCTTCTTGAGTCTATATCCTCAGCGTAGTCTGCATCACAAAATCCCTCTAGCTGCAAATCCGTCCCGCCATACTTAAGATAACGATCGAACGAGCATCTCAAGTAGTGTAGAAGCCACTTAACTGCACCCCAATGTTGTTTCCCTAGATTGCTTATGAAGCGGCTTATAACTCCCACTCCTTGTACAATATCTAGCCTCGTGCACACCGTCGCATACATCAAACTCCCGACGGCAGATACGTATGATATGTTGGCCATAAACTCATTCTCTTCAGTAGTCTCTGATGCTTGGGTCTTTGATAGCTTGAAATGACTTGCAAACGGTGAGCCCACCGGTTTAGCTTTCTCCATGCCAAACTTTTTAAAATCTTCTCAATGTAGGCCTTCTAAGATAACCTCAGCCTTCGTGCTGATCTGTCTCTGATGATCCTCATCCCAAGAATCTGGTTTGTTGGATCTAGATCCTTCATCTCGAAGCACTCAGAGAGACGCCCCTTGAGCTCCTCAATGCGGGCCAAGTCGGGCTCTGCAATTAACATGTCATCAACATAAATCAAGAGTATCACATAGGATTCGCCATATCTCTTAATGAAGCAGCAATGGTCTGTGTTGCATTTGAGAAAACCGTTCTCTTCCATAAAGTTCTCAAACTTCATATACCATTGTTGCGGAGCTTGCTTCAGGCTATACAAGCTCTTGCGCAAGCGACACACGAGGCCCTCCCTGTCTCGTTCCTCGAAGCCCATTGGTTGATGCATATAGATCTCTTCCCCCAAATCTCCATGAAGGAATACCGTCTTCGCATCCATATTCTCTAGATGGAGATCTCGACTGCCATAATGCTTAGCATAGTCCGGATCATGGTCAACTTGAAGACGGGAGCAAAAACATCAGAATAGTTTATCCCTGCTTTCTGCTCATACCCCTTCACTACAAGCCTCGCCTTGTAGCATCTTTGTCCATCGGATTCATCATTGACCCGATAAATCCACCGATTGTGAAGAGCATTTCTCCCTCTTGGAAGCTTTACGAGCTCCCAAGTCCCATTCTTCATCAAGAACTTCATTTCTTCCTCCATGACAGACTCCCACTAGTCCCGAGCTTTGCTGGTCTGCTGTACCTCCTCATAGCTCTCTAGCTCACCATTGTCAGTCAGGAAAATATAATTCATGGTGGAAAGGTACCTCTCTGATACCCTCGAATTTCTTGGAGCTTTGCGAATTGCGATCAACAGTTCTGCTGGATCCTGTTACTGTGCATCCGACACGTCTTCTTGGTCTCTGTCTTCTATGATGACTGGTACCTCACCCCTGTCCTCACTGTCAGTAATATCCGGGACAAGAGGGGGAGATAGCTGACTCCCACTCACTTTTTTGGTCTTGTACACTGCATTCTCATGGAACACGAAGTCACGACTGCGAACCACCTTGCGCGCATCGTGATCCCAGAAATGGCACCTATACTCATCTCCTCCATAGCCGATGAAAGAGAGCTTCTTTGACTTTAGATCAAGCTTTGATCGGTCTGCAGGATTGGTCATGACATAGGCGTCACAACCGAATACTCGTAAGTGCTCTAGCTTCATCTTTTTTCCGGTCCAAGCCTCCTCAGATATCCCATAACTAAGAGCCGCGGATGGCCTGCAGTTGATCAAGTATGTAGCAGTATTGATAGCTTCGACCCAAAAACTCTTGGGCAATCCGGAGTCGATGACCCACGCATCCTTTTTGTCTTTAAGAGATAAGAGAAGTGCATCTGAATCCGTCTCGTGCATAGGATTGGCTGCATCATCAGCCCGATCATCGCCTGCTGATGCTGGAACAGAAACTCTGCAGTCCCGTACAAAGTGACCATTCTTTACACATCTGAAGCACTTCCCTTCACCGTAACCATTCGGGTTTGGCCCTTTAGACTTTCCTCTGGATTTTGATTGGCCTCGTTGTCCCCTACCCTTCTTCTGCGCACGCCCTCGTGCCTCGACATGCAGAGCACTCCCATTGCTAGAGGCCTTAGCTACTGAGACTTTGCGGCGAGATTCTTCATCTAGAATTACCCTAATCACTGTATCGAGCTTCATCTTTTCATTTCCATTGGCGTTGCTCACCACCATCACCATATTATCTCATGAATCTGGCAGACAAGAAAGTAGCAGAAGAGCTTGGATCTCATTGTCGAACTTGAGATCTACTGCAGTAAGCTATTGCACCACAGTCTGAAATTCGTTCAAGAAGTCTGCCACGCGAGCTCCTTGCTGCATCTTTAGATTGAACAACTTCATCATCGGGTACACCTTATTTGAAGCAGACGGCTTCTCATACAGCGCCTCTAAGGTCTCCATCAACTCCTTGGTGGTGGTCGCATGCGAGACGTTGTAAGTCACATGCTGGTGAAGGTTGAGCCTGATAGTGGCAAGTGCTTTATGATCGAGCATCTTTTACTTATCGTCGTCCATTTTCTCGGGTTTTCCGGCCTCTCCTTGGAGGGGTAGGAAGAGATACTTCTGATACAAATAGTCTTCAATTTACATCTCCAATACCTAAAATTTTGGCCGCTGAATTTCTCAATTCGAAGCCTGTTGTCTTCAACTGTAGATCCTATGGCGAAAGATTACGTCTTTCCCGAACCGTATTTGTGAATAGTAATAGTAATTGTAAATAGTATCGTACTGGTAAATAGTGTCGTATTGCCTAGTGCCTTAAAAGAGTAAGTAATAATCTAACTTATTTTCTGATGTGAAGGATCCACTTTTAGTGGCAGGCACAGAGCATACGATAAGCAGATATATATACTCTAAGTCAGGCTCTGATACCAGTTGTTAGGGTACACACCAACAATAACCCCTCGAATGGAGACGTAATACACAGAATAAAGGCATAAAAAATCAATCACAGTACTCACAGATATACGTGGTTCACTCATTCGGAGCTACTTTACGGTGTAACGACGACGCCAAATTTTTTTATATCCTAAAAGAATAGATCAAAGAGAACACCTCTCTTGATCAGATACACTCTAAGAACTCTTAGAATCTCTCTCTCTGTGTGTGTTTTCTCTTTTACTCTTCTATGAGAGGAGTTATTTCTGAGATGAATTTTCCTGAAGAGTTTAGGCCTATTTATAGTGTTTGGGAAATACTATGCACAAATAAAATATTATCAGTAGGACCCGTCACTAATAATAAAATATTTATATGACCCACATCCTTTATAAATTCTCAACAATGTCTGCCACTGAATTTGAGTTTTCTTCTTGTGGGCCCGCCTTTGTAGGCCCCACTTTTGTTTCGTTAGGCTGACACATATTCCATCTCCACGAAAGTATAAGCTGAAGTTGGGCTCGACGCTAGCATATTTTTACATGGTTTTCTTCACGCATCAAATGCTTAACCTTGAGCAGATCCCGAGATTTACACACCTTGCAATTTTTTTCCCCCTCCCCTTTTTAAGGTCCTAAATTTTTAGTCTTGAGCTGCTCTTGGATTGATGTCCGGTACAATAAGTGGAGCAAAACTTTTAGGACTCCGGCCTAGGCAACTCGTTAAGCCAATTATCTTTTGTAGGAGAGGAATATTTTGGGGCCCCTTTTCACCTCTTCTCCACTGAGCTAGAAAGGTAACTTCGGTTGCCCTACCTCACCATTTGGTCCTTTTTCTTTTCCTTAATTTCTATATTCATGTGAAATAAAAGCAACACCTTGATTGATAATTAGTAGCGATATCCGTTAAAATGATAGAACATAACAGGAATCTAAAAAGATTAAAAAAAAAAAAAATCTTCTCGTCTCTTGAGCAAGCCTCACATTTCATCAGTGAATACATACAATCTAGAACTTACACAATACTTTCAAACGCACTCTCAAAATACTTGTTTATCCCTTAGCTTTTTTTTTTTTCCTCCAATTTTGGCGAGTAGAGGGGATGTACATCTCCCTAATGCCTAGGAGGGCATTGGTAACACTTGGTAAATAGTCCAAATGTATCAACTTGACGTATGAAATTAACCACGCTTGCCCAACCCCCAAATCCAAATCCAACCACCAATACCCAAACCACCACAAAACAGTTCATTGAGTACAAACCAGCCCAGCCTCCTAAGAACTTCGGAGGCCTCTCCACAGCATTCTGAAAGCAAAACACAATCCAATTAACTAAAGAACAATAGCTAGCTAGCTATATATCGTGTAAGAGCAATGCTAACTGGACTGCGAATCTCATATTAGTTTTGTACTGCAAGACACATATATGCGTGTGGGACTAGTATACCTCTCTTGCTGAAGCTGGAGCAAAGACTACCATGTGAGCCAAGGCCGGAATTATGTACACCGTGAAGGTCACAAGGAGAGATCCAACGGTGGAGTTTATGGGGCCGAAGAATGGGAATATAATTGCGAGGAACCATATAGGGATCACCACAGGGAGCCTTGCGAGGGCCTTCTTCAGCAAACTCTTGGTCTCATGCATGCCGATGGCTTTCTCCCATACGAAGTAGAGTGGAGTAGAAGCAAAACCGAAGGTTATAAACTGTAGAACAGTAAGGATATGCAGGAATCAGTGGCACAATTAATAGGGAGGAATTATATCACTATTGTCAAGGCCCCCCCGAGTCATTAGTTTGGTAGAAGTTAGTAAAAGACTGGCCGCAACTTATGATTCTGCGCCTGAATGTTCCTATCTTCACTATGCTTATCCATCGTACTCACTAGAAATAAAATGTTTGAAAAGAGTTGAGCTAGGCTACTACTTATAGTGTCCAAGATGTAGGTACTGCAGATTTAATTTTAAAATTTGGGTTTACAAATTGAAAATATGTACCGTCAGGTCTGATGTTCACACGGAATACGAGCGTAGGAACAAGATTTCCAAAGATTCAGAAGGGTTTTTAATCATGTATCAAGGCATAAAAAATTATACAATTTACAACATTTCAACTTTTATTTTTGACAACATGAGATATATGGTCAGAGCACCACATTGACTCATCCTATATTTTCTTTCTACATAGTTGATTTGTAGTAAGTATTTTGAATTTGGAAATCCAAATTTCAAGTTTAGATCTATAGTACACGCATCTTGGATGCTATCAATTCCTAGCTAGCTTAAATCATTTAAGAAAATTTGCAGCGGTGCCTATTGTACATTGGTTATCACATCTACTGTCATCCGTTGAACCATACGTATGCCTGTGTTAACCAACTTTTGTCCCCTGCAACAGTTGCATGCAAATGGAACTATACTCAATGAGGAGGAGCCAGAACCTTACCTGATGAATGAGCATGAGGATAACCGCAGTATCCCTGAACCCACTCCTTGGGAGCAAAGCGAAGGCATTAGAATGATCTAGAAGCATATCCCCAAATGCCCAGTACACTGCAGAGGCAGAGGGCAAGGTCAGGGTCAGCACATACAATGTTGCCACCAGGTATATGAGCTTAAACTTCTGCGGCTTCCACATCGCATGCATAATCTCGCTGCCCAAAACGAAGATCACCAAAATTATCCACAAAATTACGAAGAAATCGTTAAGATAACAGCTGCGATCGATTAAGAATCCTACACTGTAACAGCATGGCCTCCAAATGTGTAGAGAATGTTGGTTGATCCCGTGAAGTATAGCACCATCTTGCTGGGTCCCGAATGCTGCACTCCTTCGACCTTGAAAAAAGCGCATAAATTTGATGTTCAGAAATCGAAAATTGTTTGAAAGAAGCGTTACAGTTGGTTGGGATTTTACGTATTTATACCTGGCCGTGGAGTAAAGACGCAATTGTTAGGTACCAAGCAGTGTAAGTTGTCATTATGAGGCCAAGACATGACCACATTCTGTAATTGTGGAAGGAGGGGATGAACACTGATGTTGCACAACATGCCCCAAAAATATATGTCCATGTCCTCTTATCTAAGCTGTCATTTATGTAGTAAATATTGCTGCAATGAAAATATTAATAAATAAAAAAAAGAGTTAGTTCTTGAAGAGAGAGGGGGGCAAACAAAAGAGTTGATTTAGAGTATGAAAGTCCCCAACTCTTTTATTTACCTTGCACAGGCAATTAGCTGGATAACTGCTCCAAAGAGAAGGAAAGTGCAGTTGAAGAGGAGTCCTATATTTCTCCAGTGCTTGCCCAGGAGCCCATCGAGAACCTCAAACCACTGGAAGCATCAAAACAGAGGTATACACGGTTAATTTTCTTTTACTGAAATAAAATTACAGTGAGAGTTTCACAATATTCTCCTACTTTTTCAATCATATGACCAAAAGGGTCTTTTCTTTTCCTGTGAGAATCTTATGTACTGCAAACTCTCTTATCCATAAGAAAAATAAACAGATAAAGATATTACATGATTCCGAAAATCTACTTTCTCCCTCTCTTTTCTAGTCCTGTACTCTAAATAGAGTACGGTTATCAAATAAGCAGTCCAACTTCCCATTAGCCCATAAAACAACTGAAACAGGATCCCTGACACCATCCCTAGCTGAGAGAACGAGTATGGCAATGTCAACAGCACCTGAGCCACCTACATGGATCGTGCAAAGATTGTATAGCGTTCATAAGCTTAAAGTTATGTGATGTATACGAATATAGTTTTTTTTTTTTTTGTTTCTTTTTAGTTGGTAATTAATATATACCTGGTTAGAAGAACAACTGAACCAAGCGTCATAGGCTGAGCCGCCGTGCCAAAAGAGCTTGGAGAGCTTGCTCTTCGAACTCTCCGTGTCTTCGGTCTCTCTCTCCATTTCGACGTAGTTTCCTGCTACGATCGTCTCGACTTTCTCCGATGCCATGGCCCCTGTGCTTCGTTTGTTTGGTATGTTTTGGGGTGGTGAGAACGGAGAGGAGGTGTGGGGATTATAAAGGGAGGTGGTGATGCATTCTAAGGCTTACTGCTGTCGTGCCGTGCTCTTTGCTCGCCTGTTTGTTAAGAGCTTTGCTTTTCTTTGGAAAGTTGGGAGTCTGGGGCCGGGCTTGGCCAGCAGCGCACGAGCGGTCTGGCCCATGATAGGACTTTTATTGCAAAATGAAAAGCCCATCAAGATGAGTTTTGTCGTGGTCCACGCAAGACTTAGGGATGGCAACGCACAGCTTCATAAATTACGGCATTGTACCAATGGTAGGAGTAGGATTGATCTGCACCCGGTTAAGATTTTCCATGCATGGGGAGAGTTGGCTACGGATCTATTTGTCATCCTAAACCCAAACCCAATTACTTTTCATACTTTTTTTGTTCGTATTGTTTGCTCTTGGATCCATGCAGAAGTTTCAAAATCCAATGATCCAAAGATAGATGGATCTTGGTACACCATTAATACAGTAGACACGGAATATATTTGATACTTTTGCTACGTGTATGTGTGATGTGCGTAGATATGTTGGTCTGTATATATGAGAGCTTTGGACAGCGGTCAATATACTTTTTAGCTATGAATCAATTGTTCGATGTTAACTTCCACATCATGACCTTGATGAAAATTAAACTCATTAATTCAATCAAAATTGTTATATCATGCAAATTACCATCTGAAAATTGAATGTAACTCATTAAAAAAACTCATATAATTGCAAGAGTAAACGGGGACTCGTGTGTTTCTCCATAATGTTAGTGAGTGTATGGATGTGATACATCTAGACCCGATCATCATTATACTCATATATGATGAATTGGATGTATGTCACGTCAGTGACACACCCCAAAATATGAAGGGAGACACTAGCCTCCGTTGACTATTAATAGAACTGGTGTTATATCCAACCTCTGGACGCCAATACTAATTCAAATCAAATATAGGTCATGTTAGACCTGTTATTTAACCCGGCTCAACTACCATCCCAATATTTTTTATTTTTTATTTATTTTTCACTTGCACCGTGACATGCTTGATAGAGACTAGCTAAGAGTGAATAGCTACGGAGCCCACCCAAGGAATGGAGGCTCATCACTACATGCACTACAAGGGGCCCAACAAAGATGGGTTAAACATATTTCCCTACTAATTAATCTTTGTTATCGCAAGATAAACCAATCACTTAGATGGGGTTAATGATTACATTGGAGATGTAGAGGGTGGTGCTTCACATGATTAAGTCACACGTGTGACAACTGGCTACCCCTTTTATATATGCAAGGCAGTGGCCCTGTGAGAATTGTGGGATTCTTCTTCTTATGTTTATTTTTTGTGCACATAGGAATGATTAGGGAGCCCCATGAGGGGGCAAGCCCGTCTTAGTTTATAGATTTCCTAGGGATGCAAGATTGGCTTTATGATTTAACAAGCTTGAACCTTAGTAATTTGCCATGATTAGTTATGTTAATTAAGTTTCAATGGTGACCACGATAGCTTGTAATAAGCTGGTGGGTGGTTGGTGAAAGGGATGGTAGTTTTCTCTCGTAATCTTTTTTCTTTCCTTTGTGTGTGACAAAGGATGGGCAAGCTTTATCTCTAATAAAGCAAAGACGAAGATTGATAGTGGCAAAAGTACAAACTTGAGTTCATGTAATCTCTGGACTTCTATCATGTTGCATTGTCATTATGATGAAAATTAGATACGCTCATGTTCAAGTTACACGTTCCTAATAATCTTATTAAAAGAAAAATATGTGTCTCTACTTACAAAAAATAATTAAGACTACTAATGAATTTGAAATGTGTATATTCATTAAGAAGGTTACCAATTGATTCCTCATGATTAAACAAAATAACAAAGGAAACACAGCTGGGATAGTAGGATCGGTTGATGCAACTAAACTTTAACTATAATTGTCTTTTTTTTAGACCGAATTTGTATGGAATAAATATCTTGATATGTGAATTCAAACTGAAGATTGTGATCGTGTTCTTTGAATTTATATATATATGAGAGAATTTCCTTACATGAAAAGCTTAATCGTTAGTCTATATTACAAAAAACAGAGAACGCTTTCATACATGTCTAAAACACGCCAACTAGCTAGAAATCTATTAGAGATAAATAATTGACATATATACCGTGAGAAATTTTTTGAAGCCCTTCCAAACTTTGAAAGGCCAAGAATTCCAATTTCTATCATTGTAGAAGTTTGACTTATCAAAACTCTATTTTCTTAAAGCCTTAAAGTAAGGTAGGGGCGCTCCAAATATCTCTTTTACTAATTATAACTATAGTAATGAGTACATATTTCGGCCTTCAATGCTATGATTAATCCAGTTAATTAAAAATTAAGATAGTATAGTCGGTTGATTTTGTACAATTTTCATGAGCCCCTTCTTCTCTTTTCCGACGTGTTCGAGTGGTTTAGTACCGCTTTTGGGACCAATGCAATTTGGTTTCAAGGACCATCACTCAGTTGAGATTTAAGTTTGTAAGACCACAATTGAGTTTGTTGGCTTTTTTGTTACTTTCGGTGCCTAAAATGATTCATGGGTTTTTGAGTAACATGGGATGGATGGGATGGGTAGTTGCTATATAAGCTTACATTTCAAGGGGTATATATGTAGGGATTAAAAAAATGATAATTTATTTGGATAAAAACATGATTACTACATATCTATATATATCCGGATATATAGGTACAGTATGAAAATAGATATTCAGTGAAATACTTAAATATTTCACCAAAAACAAATACTCAGTGAAATATTCAAATATACAGTATGAAAACAGACATTCAGTGAAATATTCAGATCTGCATCCGAAATATTTGAATGTATATTGATTATAGAATTTATAATTATTTTGACTATTAGATGAGATCTAGTCCAAGTTTTTTAGATCTGGTGAGCATATTAATAGGACTTGCTAGCTAGTATATATCATATGACTTACAGGAATAGATGGTTTGTTACGTGCTCTTGGATTTTTCATGTGTGAGAGCATTTATGTTGCTTTTTCATGGGTAAGGGAATTTATTTTCTTTATTTTTTTTCAAGTGTGGGAGCATTTTCATTGGTGATTCATTCCAGCATCTTCGAAAATCACCAATCCAGGTATTAGGTTTCATCCTTAATGTTCTAAAGTTTTTAACCACATATCTGCTTTATTCTTCTTTAGTAGTATTCTTATGTGTGATTTTGAGAGAACTGCCTATGTTATATGTAGATCAACGTACCTCGACGACGACGGCGCAGACAAGGCGAGGACTCAGAGATCGCCTGACGCGGTTGAGGAGATTGCCTGCGTGGAGAGGCGAGTCACTCGCCTGTGGTGAACTCGCCTGATGGCGAGGTTTGAGCTCACTTACAGATCTGTAGGTGAGGGCAGATGCGGGAGCTCGCCTGATGGTGAGGTTTGAAGGCGAGATTGGAGCTCGTCTGTTGGCGGATGTAGAGCTCGCCTGCGCGGTGGAAGACAGCTAGCGTAGATCTCACCTGCTGGGTCTCGAACTAGCCTGTTCGAAGTTCGCCTACGGAGCTGTGGTGGGATCCAGCTGGATCCCACCCGATTGAAGAGAACTCGCCCTAGGGTTTCCCTATAAAAGGGAAACCCTATTCACAGAGCGACGGAGGAACGAGCAGCAAGGAGCGGAGCTTGAGCGCGAGCAGAGAAGAAAAAATCCGGTGGCGGCTGCGATTTTGATGCCCCCAAATTTGTTTCAGCTCTCATTAATTAAAGGAGAGGTGGAGTTGAGCAATTAAGATAGGGGGTTATTTAAGAGAGAGTGGTTGAGCATTGATTTTAGATTAAAAATCAATTGCTATTTGTTTGAGAGATCTCAAGTTTGAGATCCTCTCTCTTATTTGTAATTTTTTGTTATTAATAAGAAATTAGTGTGTCGTTCCCGTGGACGTAGGCAGGTTTGCCGAACCACGTAAAATCTGGTGTCTTGCATTTGTGTTACTTATTCTAGTTGTTGATTAGTGTTCCAATCTCGTTTGTGATTGTGTGCATTCGGTTCCGCTGCGCACAACAAGTGGTATCAGAGCTCCGAGTTTGGCTTGAGATTCGATTTAGAGAAGAAAGCTAAGCCTTGGATTCTCGTTTGAAGAGATTGGATTATCGAGATGACCGAAACAAGTACATCAGGATCGTCTCTGTTGAAGGCGATACAAGCGTTGATCATTAATAATACAAAAATTGATGTTCAAAAATTTGATGGCAAGATAAATTTTGGTTTGTAGAGGTGTCAAGTGATGGATGCATTAGACGCCCAAAATTTAGAGGAGACTCTTGAATTACAAGAGAAACCCGAGGATATAGAGAACAATGTTTGGAAGAAAATGAATAGTAGAGCGTGTGAGATTATTCGATCATGTTTGGCGCCGGACTTGATTTATGATGTGATGAACGAGACATCGGCGAAACGGTTGTGGGAAACACTCAATGAGAAGTATTTGACGAAGAGCATTGAGAATCGGTTTTATTTGAAGAAGAGGTTTTACCAATTCAAAATAAAGAGGGGAGTTTCCATTAGAGAACATGTTAATAACTTCGCAAAATTGCTATTAGATATGGCCAATATGGATATCATGGTAGAGGATGAAGATAAGGCAATGTTGTTGCTATGTTCATTGCCAGAGGTTGATTTTGGTACCTTTGTCCTTACAATGATCAATGGTAGAACCACTGTTAGCTATAAGGAGGTGACCTCAGCATTGATGAACTATGAGTTAAGGAAGAGTGATAGTGAACCCTCCGAGAAGGCATGGGGAGATACATTGGTAGTGAGAGACCATAGTCCAAACCGTCGTCCATTTAGGCTCTGTTTGGTAAAACTAGCTGAAAGCTGCGAGATTATAGCTGAAAGCTGTTAAGCTAGCTGAAAGCTGTGAAATTATAGAGCTGAAAGCTGTTAAGCTAGCTGAAAGCTGTGAAATTATAGCTGAAAGCTGATAGCTGTGTAGCTAGCTAATTGACTAGAGCTGTTTGGCAAAAGTAGCTGTACAGCTAGCTTAAATTTGTTAAATAACTAAAAAGAACATGCAATATTATTGATATAAATTTAGAATTATTAGGGGCAAAAATGGAAGAAAAAAAATTGGCAGCTCCTTCCCAAAGACAAATGCTACTTAAGCTTTCCAAAAGCTACTTGCAAAAGACACAATCTTCAAAATAATCTCCTCTTATTTTTTGTCACCAAACAGCTCTACTAGCTTATTCACCAAGTCAATAAGACACAATCTCTTAGATAAGACACAATCTCTTGTTGCCAAACAGTGCCTTAATCGCTCCAAGTCGAAGCAAAGAGGTGGTTATAAGAGTGTTGGTAAAAATCAATATCGTTTTTGTAAAGAGGATAGGCACTGGAAGAATGAATGCCCAAAGTTGCCGGGAAGAATAAAGTGAAAGCCATACAAGCTTCAGAGGTGAATGTTGCCAAGGCTAGTGGCGACAATTCAGATTCAGATTCTTTGAACTATTCATGCCCAACATTACTGTCAGTTTGTTATGTCGACTACGGAGTGGATATTAGATTCAGGTTCTACATACTATATTTACCCTAGGAGGGATTGGTTCTTCAGCTTTGAGGAGTTAGAAAGAGGGGATGTCGTGCTCATGGGTAATAACCACGTATGTCCTATTGGTGGTATTGGCACAGTTCGGATCCGGATGTATGATGGGGTGACTAGGGAGTTGAAGGAAGTGAGATTCGTTCCTCGATTGATAAAGAATATCATTTCACTTGGAACTTTGGAGGTAGCTGGCTATAAGGTGATCTTGGAGAATGCAACTCTAAAGGTCACAAAGGGGTCAATGGTGGTGATGAGAGGTGTCAGGGAAAACAATCTTTACTACTTGAAGGGCAAGATAGAAACAGGGGGGGGTCTAGCAGCTTCGATTACCACAGAGGAGGATATTACCAGCTTATGGTACATGAGATTGGGACACACTGATGATAAGTCCTTACAGGTATTGGCACAATAAGGGCAATTGAAGGGTGCAAAGACCTACAAGATGGTGCTGTGTGAACATTACATACTTGGAAAGAAGACAAAAGTAAAATTCAGCACCGCAATTCACAATACCCAAGGTATATTGGATTATGTTCATACTGATGTTTAGGGTCCTTCCAAGAACACATCTCTTGGTGGGGCCAATTATTTTGTCACTTTCGTTGATGATTATTCCAAGAGAAATTGGGCATACCCTATGAAGAATAATGTAGGCTGTCTAAAAATCATAATAGATAGCTGATCCCCATCAAGCTTCAATGATGAAAGTTACAATCAGATGACTTTCATGCCGACAAATGAAAGCTGTAAATAGAGGACTTTTCACATAGATCGAGAAGAGTTACAATTCAACGATACTTCCGACAACTGATGAAAACTCTATTCAGTGATCTTCACGATCAACAGCGAGAGTTACAATCTGACGACTTTCACACCCCACAACAGCTAAAGTAAGGATTACTGAACAATGATCCTTGCAATACTCTACAGAAGAGGTTTCAAGTCAACTAACCCCTTCTAAACCCGGAATTCATCTTCGCGTTCTAATTTTTGAAACACAGGCGACTCTCGCGTTTCCAAACCGCAATAAGCGAAACGCGAGCGACCCTCGCGTTTTTAAGGTTCGGTCAATACCCAACTCTGCATCTCAATTCTAAGACGCGGAGTTAGGGTCCTGAACGCCAAATTGGGCGTTTGACTCATTCAAACATGAGTCCAACGATTTCAGAACTGTTTTCCCACGATCTGAGAAAATCACGCCCACTCAGGAGTGGATTAAGGGGGCAGTTACAACCCCCTATCCTCTTATAAAATCTCAACAAATTCAACAGAGAAAACATGGGAGAGGTTGGAATTTTTCGGCAGAAATTTGGATCTTCTGAAGATTAAGGGAAAACTCTTGGGAGAATGGAGATTTCTGCCAGATTTCGAAGATCAAATCATCTACGAAATCAGCATAATAGAGTTCTTGACAGTTAGGAGATTAGATTCTTCAGCAACAAACAAATCCATTTGACTTGTTAACTAATTATTCGGTTTTAACAACTCTTTTCACAGAGTTCTAACTCGTTCTGAGTTCTTAAACTCGTTAAGAGTTAACCATCAAACTTACCACATAAGTTAATTATTCCTACGAGACAAGACAATCGGATCGTCAACGGAGAGCAAATTCGATGCAAGCATTCGAAGGAGGCACTCTATCACTACCGAGAAGAACCCAGTTTTAAACAAAAGGGAGAATCCAGATCATTCTCCTCTCTTTTGTAATCGAAATCCAATTGTAATTGAGATCGAGAGAATTTAAATCAAATTTTTTCTTTCATTTTTTTACTCCAAATTTTCTACCAATAAAAGATAGCGACTCCGCTGGGGACTAGCTTTTCTGACGAAGAAGTGGTGGCGCAATCCGACGTCCACCTCACGGGAATAACTGTTAAAACTCTCATTGTGGAGTTTGACCAAGCCAAATACGAGGAAGCCCTCTCTTCTAGATCGCTTAGCCCTAAGGCTAGGCGCGACATCCGTAAGATCTCCAAAGAGATCAAAACTGTTGCTGAAATACCAAAGAAAGCCCTCTCCTTTGGCTAAAATTCGTCAAACAGCCCCTCCTCCAAAGGAGTGGGCTTAGCTTCTGCAAAACTCGTCCAACGAGTTGAGCGTTCTACATCTACGTCAACACAACGTACTACGGGTCACAAATAGCCTATGAAAGAGGCAAGCTCTATAAACACCAATAATGCTGCTACAAAATCATTGAAACAAGCCAAAAAGAACGCCGCTCGAAGACGGAGAAGATCCATACGACAAGCATATCTTCAAGAAAGCCGAACTCTTGCCTAACGCGAGGATCGCGTTCTTGAGGCTCTGCCCGAGCAAAGCGTTTCCACCCCGGAACATACACTTCACGGTAATGAGCCCAATTATCAGCCTCAGCTGATACAGCTAAAATGCGACTCTCAGTGGTGCGTTATTCCTCCAAAATGCAACCCTCAGGAAAGCACTGCCAAAGATAAATGCACACCTCACATGTGCGTTCAAGCGAAACATGACCCTCAAAAGTCTGTTTCACCAACCAAACGTGACCCTTAGGGGTGCGTTCAACCAAACCATGAGAGTTTCTTAACCAAGAGAGTTTCTTAACCAAGTTTAAAAGAGTTTTAACAAGGGTTTTAGTTTGGTTTAAGTGTGTTTAAGAAGCTTTTAAGCATTTGGAAGTTTGAGTTTGTAAAATCAATTTCACAAGAGTGTTTAAGAAGCTTTTAAGCATTTGGAAGTTTGAGTTTGTAAAATCAATTTCACAAGAGTTTGAGGAGATTATCTATTGGTGTTTGGGCATCCAACTATTCTCCCTCCACCTCTTGACATATTGAGAAGTTTTCTAAACTCTATTTCTAGCTTTACATCTATTTATTTGATTATAATTTTATTAAAGCTAGTGTTAGTATTGAGTTTAGTTGATTTGATTTCACTCATTATTTACACACAGCCACTTAAGCTTATTGTATTTGCATGCATAGTATATTTGGGTTGGTGAGAGTTGTAACATTTGAGTGTGAGCTTTTATTATGTTCTCATCCATATTAGAGAACAATCATTCTTTGTATTGTTCTTAATCGTGAGATCACTTTGTAATACACTTGTACACCGAGAGGAGTGTGTGGTG